GCGCCTTCGTGCGCCTTTGTGCGCGGTCTGAACGGTCCCTAATACTTGTTCAAATTTGATCTGATCTCAAATCAGATCTTCGATTAAGGGCAATGTCCGGCCAGTGTGCTTGTAAAGCGGAATCAAGATGCGGTTTGGTTTGAAACAGTACTCCACACTGAGCCAGCGGATGACAAGAAATTAATAAAGGAGTAGAGGTTTCCTCCACCAGTAATATAACAGACTGCATTTGAAAATGGTCAATTTGCCGAATTTGCTTACCGCTTGAAGTTCTGGAGCATTCTATGTGGGATGAACTACTGGCACCAATAACCGAAGAAGCATATGCAAGTGCTTCTAACAGAAAATGTTATAGTTCGTATGTATTCGCTAACAATAACGAGATGAAATAATTGTAAATGAGCGACTAATGACATGGAAGACTAAGAAAAAAAATTCATTCTGTAACCTCACTTCTTTGCTTTTTTATTGATGAAGATCCGATGTACTTGTAAAACTGAGGTCTTAAACGCCTGTTACCTCCAAATGGGTTTTGACCAAATGCTTTGAACTGGGAGAGTTGCGCATTATTACAAATTTTGATTCACATGTCTAGATTTGGAATTGGTTTTGTTATACAAAGGTTTGCCAGTCGCGAAACTCGAAAAACAATCCAAGTTATAGTTACAGTTATACATCAAAGGACTAGGGACTGTGTATGCAGAATGCTCAGTACTATTGCATCCACTCAATAGATTGATTTGAATAGAGAAAAACCTTCACTTATTTGAGATACTATGAGCCTAGAGAGTACAGAAAAACTCATACCTTTCTCCATTCGCGTCATCACCGATGTCCAAATCGTCTCGCGATTGATCTGGACTAGCCAACTCATTCGAGTCTTCATCGTCAAGCTCTATCACAAGACATCTTTCTAGCCGACGCCTTTCAGTATCCAGTTCCGTTTGAATCTGAATTGTAGCAATAGAGAGCCGTCAACTTTCTTTTTTTCGACAACAGAAAACATACCTTGTAGTTCGTGTTCACACCTTCTTTCCACTTCTTTCTATACTTGGCGACATCAGAGTTGAGCTGATAGTTCTGTGTTTTCAACGTACCAAACAGGACTTTTATATCTTGTTGTTTTGCATCCTGAAGCAACATATAGAGTTGACTAGCAAAAAGATATACGAAACGAAATCTCAGAAAAATAAAATAAAATATTACATAATTCACTTATAACGCACCTGTTTGCTATGAGCTGCCAAAGATTGTTCAAACTCCATTCGCAGCATATCTGATTCTGTTCGCATCTGAATCGAAAAAGGCGGTAACATTAGTTGCGCGGTCAACCTCACTTGCAAGCTTCCACAGAATCGTGGTCATCGCGGAACCCGCGCGCGTGCGCACGCATTTTCAGCGAAAGCATTTTCAGGCTTTTGATCGAATGTTTTTTTGCATCATATATGCCTTTAGCTACTAGAAATGACTGTGCTAAGCCCTAGAGTAATGCCTTTTAATGATCGTTTGCCTTTGTAACGTTTGAGTGGGCGCAAAGACCGCAGCCGAATTCTTCGTCACGATTTTGTGAACGCCTTATACTTGCAATCATCAATCAATATTGATGGAAGTTTGCAAGGGAGATTTTAATGAAAACTGCTAATGTCACGATAGACCAAACTAAAGTGCAGAAAATTCAAGTCTCAATGCAACCAACTTGGTTCAAATCTCGGGTGATTTGCTCACATAACGATCGCATTTTGCGCATTGATTGATGCTCGTCGGCCTGGAAAAAAAATTATGTACCATCAAGATCGGCGGGGGCATTTTGTCAACAAAAATAAGACAAAACTAATCTATACCTTCATCTCTTCCACCTTCTGCAGCATTTCTTGACGCAAAAGATCACGTTCCTCTGTGACTGCTTCGAAATCACTCCTACAGTGGAACAAAATCAGTACTATTGCAGTGAAAAATGCAAAGATTTGAGCTTACCTCAGCCTTCGGCATTCATCAATAACGACAGAGTAGAACGCAACTAGATTTTGGTACTCCGTGCTTTGAATGATTTGAGCAGATGAACTGTATGCAGACTAAAAGACGAACTTCTATGATCATGAGCAAGCTTCATCTGTTCACTATGTAAATCTAAACCAGCCTTCAAATCACACTCCATGCGTACGGTGTCTTCCACAAACTTTTGTATTCGTTCATTCAGCTCATGGATTTCTTGCAAACGCTTGTTAGCAAGATCAGAATTGAGCTCGCTTTCTGCGCGCAACTCGTCAAGCTAAACGGAAGCTTTACTGAAGATAGATGCGAAACATGGAAATTTGCATACCTGTGTTTCACTCAGTCCACCTCCGTTAGTTACACCATTCAACATTTTCATCGTCGGTCGTACCTCACAATGAGCTGAGTTATCCTAAACAAAATGCATGTATGTGAGAAGCCAGCACAACTTCAAAATTTCTAATGTGAATTTTGCAGGATAAAAGAGTTACTATGGATAGAGGATAAACAACTTCTTGCTTTTAATGCTAACAAAGGAATGTCCAGCTCATTCGCGCGAAGTTATAGGCGCTGTCCGCACTAAAATGGTATCGGTTCCTCCACTGGGCTTGACATCGCTGGTAATGTTCACGATATTTAGGAAGTTAGTGAGAATGAGTACAAGCGTTCGATTAGTTGGCTATATAAGTTATGTGAAGCGCACTGCCTTCCACACAAACGCCTAACTTCGTCGAGAACACCTCTAGAGGCATAGAGTTTTGATTAGCGATTAGTACAAAGCGGTCATAAACGATGTATAGAATGGTGTGCCAAAAATTGTCCAAGTCAGAGTTAGCTATAGGTG